GACACTGATTTAGCGAATTAAACACAGCATTTGGCGATGCTGTTGCTGCTGCCGCTTTGGCAGTGGTGCCCACGCACGAAGAACAAAAGCACTCAACGAGTTCGTCAATAACACGGCCTTTAAAAAGGACATGTTTATAAGAGGCAACGTTTTAGGCAACGGGCCATCTTCACAGCCCATTGAGAGGTCGAGCCACGCAACGCGCCGTGATGAAGGGCCATTGCATGAAACGTTGCCTTCATGTACTTTTTATTTTTAAAGAGGCGTTGTTATCGAGGTTGTTTTGTTGTTGTTGATTTGGCGTAGGGAATGCTGCAGTTGAGTTGCATTGTCAAACCGACCAACCTGGGGCTGCTCGAATTCCGCAGTTACGGTGAGGAGGGGTGGCGGGCGACCGGGCTGCGGCGATGCCGTGAGAGTAAAACAAGACGGCGCCTCCTCGCCGGAGACTCCGCTGTGGGCGTTGTGATCGTCGCTGTGTTCGCTGCTTACCGCAAAGAGGCGAACAGAGACTAAATTGTGATTCAGATTAAATGGCAAAAGTCGCTCTAACGTTGGATGTTTTACTCCGCGATAGAAGGCTGTTTTGCCAGACTTCACACGCTCGGTAATTGAGTAATCTTCTCGTTTTGGTACGGCGTGTTGCGGACATAATTGAGTAATACATGGGTACAGATAGAGAAAACAAGAAATTGCCAATAAAATACAAAAAAACATTACGCTCTTTCAGTTTCAGCACATTGCAAAAGAACACCTGCAAACTGATCAAACATCTCAATGATTGTCAACATTGCTACACGTTCTGTATTCCATTTACGTGATAGCAGTCCATTTCACAAAGAGTTTGCAACTTCTAACTTTACCCGAAGATAACAAAGTGACGCTGCCGTGTCAGACGCGACACACGTACCAAGCATGTGTGGACCTGATTCAGCTTAGGAGGCAGAGTTGTGTGTGGCCTCAAATGCCAAGCTCCCCCTTGTCACTTTTAAAGACTGTGGGGGGGACAAGTGCTGAACGCGAGCACCTATGAAGGCCGGCACGGCACACCTCCCACCAGGGGGTGGGGTGGCCAGCACCTCACCCGGCCGCCTTTTGTCCGAGTCGACCTAGGGGAGGAGGAGGCCCAGCACCAATACAGATAATCGTCACCGGTGTTGACCGTGAGCGGGAATCGAACTCTGGTCGGCGGCGCAGCGCGCCAACCGCCGTGCCGCCGCTCTTCGCCCGCCCGCACGCGCGCCGCCCAAAATCTTTGCCAGCGCGTACGCGGGGCCACTCGCGCCCGTGCGCACGCGCGAGCGAACACGCAAAAATATACACGTGGAACGCGCGCGAGAATTGCAATTCTCGCGCGCGAGAATTGCAATTCTCGCGCGCGTTCCACGCACGGGCACGCACGCACGCGCGCACGCATCAGCACGGCTTATCACACCCTTGCACAAGGTGAAGCAGAATACGTATATACAACGGCAACAAAAAAAACTCACGCGGCATCTGGCACACCTCGCATCGTTGCACACGAATGCCATGCGACCCCTGTGCCGCCCAGAATTTGCGTCTCAAAATGAGATTTTCTCCTTTGTCCAGGAAGCCATCTGTTCTGCTCTGCCTCTGCTCGCCGATGCAAAGTGAGCCCGATCTTAACGCGCCGCCGGGCCTTTTGCGCTGGCCACCACTTGCATCATGGATCGCCATGGTGATTAATGATGATGGCATTCATTGTCGGAGGCAAGAAACACAGCCTGATTTTGCCTGCTTACCCAGAAAACTCTCACCGTGCCTTTGATAATCTTTGTGTTGGAGGGTACTTACCAAATGTTTAATGCAGGGGGTAGCAGTTGCCGTGCGTTTCCTGATGAAGTAATTTGAGAGTAATATTTATAATTGGGCCAATGTGGACCATGGCACTGCAATGGCCTGCTATTTTTCGAACGACGCCATGGGATGTTCACGGTGAAGCAGACGGCACGCACCCCATGGTTCATGTGCCTACCACTTTTAGCAGGGCAGCCTGGCGGTGTTGTGGGCAAGGCACTTTGGACGTTCCACCGATGGCTGCACGTGAAAATCTGGACGTTTGGTGCAGCAGAGTGGAGGAAGGTCACAGCTTTTTGAACCGCGGTGCTGGAATGGACTTTAGTTGCAAATCCCTTTCACAGCAAGGAAAACTACCGGTGACAAGGCTCGACAGCCCAACCCTAACGGCAGAGATGGCAACTAAAGTATTTCGGGCACAAAGCTGCCGGCGTGATAGGGGCGAATCCGGAGGAACTGTCAATGTGTTGGTGAAGTTGAAATGGAACAGAGTTAGATGGAGCCTAATATCTGCAAATACCAGCGAATATTAGATTATTTGAATATTGGCTTTTCAACGACGGTACAGGACCAAAGTATACGGACAGTGGGAGATGGGCAAGCGTCTAAACATAATCCGTCGCATTCCCCAGCCGTGATCTGAGAAAGACAGATGGTGTTGTAAATGTAACCCGGAGGACAGTGTTACACCAATGTTATTGCAAAGCCAAAAATATCAGCGAGTGGGAGTAGTTTATTACGGGAGGTCATGGATACTCAGGAGTGAGTATAGTGACGAGCAGAGAGGAAGTCGCTGTGGGTCATGATGAAGTAATTTCCCGCTCTTCACTGTGAAGCGGGGTCGACCGTTGTCCGGTCGCGTCTTCGGAGTCAGATTCTTCTCCGTTTGTGCTTTGCCGTAACGGCAGGTCCTTTTGGCTGCCATCTTTTCCGTCCTCCGGTCTCTGCCTCTTTCAATGAGTGACCCTTCAGCTCCTTCAATATCCCCATCCTTTGCTTTCCTTTCGTTTTTTCCCCCCTTCCGTTCCATCGTCCGTAATGTCCTTTGTCAATGTACGTACGGGGAACTTCTTTCGCACCATACGTAGCCAACCGTGCTAATCGGAGGTGCAGGGGATGGACAACAAACTAAACACACGAAACATTTTTCCCTGCGTAGAATGCATGCAATCGTGTTCTTATTTCTCGTTTTGATCACTTCCATGACCCATTGTCTTTCTTTCGACGCCATTCAAGGTTTATCCCAAGAGTCAAGATTTGGCATCGCGCGATGTCTCTGCGCAGGCGTGTGAACATAATCGACACGGATGGACAGGCAGATGGATGGGGTCCGGCAATGTTAGGAAAGCATCAGAGTTCTCCGCTTAAGGCTGAAGTGTGCACGTGAGTGAAGGCCCGCTGTTTGGGGTTTGGCAGGCGCTGTGTGACTTAATGCCTCGCAGGTCAGGCGTGCGTGAAATGTAAAAAAAAAATACATGCACAGCTCCCATCTTTTTTTTATTTCACGAGTTTCAACGGAATTACCGTGCATCAGTGTGGACTTATCCCTCACTTGCACAGGGGTCGGTGGGGGTGGAATAGCGATAAGAAAATTGCATGAACGCACGCACGGAGAAGCCACGTGTGCAACTGCCTTGCCAACGTCGAGAATTGGGCCGGCAAAAAAAAAATCTGAAATTGAAATCGCTCTCATTGGGAATTCTTAAATAGAAAAATCATTAACGACCAGTCATGAGGATCGCGAAACGTTGGCTTTTTGTTCGTTTTATTTGTTAACCCGCAGCTTCGTGTGACCTCCCGCGTAAGCCGCGGTGCGTGCTGTGGTGCACGCGCGTGTCCGTCCGTGCGCTAGCAGAGTGATTGGCAGGCCCCCAGCAGAGCACATCTGCCTGCATGAATTATTAATGATGCTCTTTTAAAAACTCTTTCCGCTGCCCCCCCCCCCTCCACCAACTCCTTGCACGCAGACAGCGGTGTCGGTGGAGGTCCGGTGGGATGTGGGTTCGTGAGGCAGTGGGGGGTGATGGGGGGCGAGGGTGGCTGGAGTTGGGAAGGCAAGGGGATGTTTGCTCTATGAAGTGGCCATAATGTTTCCAGTTGATAACAGCGGCCATGATGAAGGCCTATGCTGCTCAAAGCACCAATTAGCGTTGCTTTCATTCCCGTCCATTTTGATAATCCTGGGTTTTTTTCATTTCAAGTGGCTAGAAACTAAAAATCCCAATGCAAGCCAGCATTGTATATTCACATCCTCTGCGGGATGCTTTCAGCCTCTCGTGGTTTTTATGATTTCTCATGGCTTTCTTCGTATTTCTTTGAAGCTCTTCGAGTCCTCAATGTCCTGGTGCCCTCTGTACGGTGCGTTGTGTGCTTGTTGATGTTTTTCAACGAGAGAGGTTGATGGTTTGTTGCAGCTGGAAGCACCTTGTATTTTCTGCAGAGCAGCTGCTCTTCTTACCCAACTGTGCGTTTATTTGGAGTTTGTGCTCGTGTCTCTCTCTCTCTCCCTGTGATCGCGTGGATTTTTTTCCGGGTCCTCTGGTTTTTCCCTCCACGTTTAGAATCAACATCACGCGTTTAGAGTATTTGGCTGAGATGAATTTCCACACGACGATGAGCCATCTTCGTTGAGCTATCATTTGTGTCCAGGTCGCTTCTCAAAAAGAGCTGCGTAGCTCAGTGGGGTCTTGCCTGGTGAAAAAGTAAACAAATATTTTATAAACTTTACTTGGCGCTTTCGTGACTGCAGGAATTACTTTTTGGTTCTTTCGGTAAAGTCACGTAGAAATAAAATAAATTAAATAATAGAATACGACGTTTCGATTGCAACACAAGCAATCATCATCAGATACGAATGAATAAGAAAAACAAACATAGTTTGCAGATGTCTCTGAGATGTTGCTATTTCCATAGCTGTCAACCCCTTATCAGCGCCCTACCTTATTACAGACCAATTCAGACCTCATTGGTCACCCCGTGCCCTTATAAATCTCAACGTTCATCCTATAAAGTCCCATCACAAGGGAGAAACACGAAAAATAGACACTTTATTTTTTACACAATTTTTCTATACAAGAATACGGGTAAACCATATGATTTGACAGGTATGTATTTCCCCTACGGCAGCAGCAAATGTTATTTTTTCAAAGTTCCCGTCGCTCTGACGATCGTTTGTTTCCTAGGAGACGGAGTGGCTCGGACGCGTGTACCACTTCGTGGAGCTGAATCTCCTTCCGGGGGTAGAAAATCCTGGCGTCTCCGTGGCAACCCTGTCTGGGCGACTGGTCCGATGTCTGTCGGAGCACTGCGCCCAAGCGGACGAGCGCCGCCTCCCCGCGACGGAAGCGGAGCGCCTCCCACTGCCGCTCGCCTACACGTAATTACGCATTTCCTATCGCTGCGCTGGGAGTTGAAGAGCTAATTAACCGAAAACACTCTTAATCTTTCTGCAGTGTTGTCTGCTGACTGGGGTCCAATTATACTTAAATAAAGTTGTGTCGGAGAAACAGTTACGCGACATCCGACCCTGATTGGAGTGTTTATTTTGTTTAGCATGCGAGCGAGCGATCAAATGTTAAACGTGTGACTTTCACTCGGGGAACAAGAGCGCACCTAATTAGTGCCAGCAAAGAAATTAGCAATATGACCGTGTGAGAATGGCGGGCCTAATGAACATCAAAATAAACATGCCAACCGAACATTTCAACTAATTTCTGCGTAACCCGTGTGACACGACGATATTTTTCTAAATGTCTCTAGATTGCATTGCTCTGTATCTCGCGTGCTTTACGAGCGTATGAAGTCAAACGATTGCAACTTGTGGCTTGAACGCAGCCGCATCTATAACCAAGTTTAAGATTGCTTCGTTGTACACCGTTTGCAGGTACATTTTGGAATAAGTTTTTTTTTTAATGCATTGGCTGCATATTGGGTGGTACAGGGATAACACTTGTGAGACGCACAGCAAAGAAGGCCTCGTTGGGTTCCATTCCTGAATCTGGGCCTCTCTTGCCTTTCCTTTGGCGTTCCCACGGTCTGCGGTTTCTCCCCATAGCTAAATCAACCAAACTATTCATAATAAAAAAGTTACTTTGGGTTAGGTCCTGTGAATGTGAGTGTCTTTAGCCCACCACCACTCGACACGGCCAAATCAGTAAGGGTTGTCACGTAATTAAAACGTGTCGGTTAGTTACTACTTCAGCAGTCAGCACACCGGCGCGTTGGAGAGTAAACCCACACATCTATACTCACGCGATCTAACCCAAAATAACTTTTATTATGAATTACATTGTAAGGTTTGTTTTTTGTTTATCTATGAAGAAGAACCCGGAGAAGCCGAATTGTAAATGTTGTGTGTTTACATTCCAACACAGCGGTGTGCTGAAGGAGTAACTAATTGGCACGTTTGGTTTACGTGACAAACCTTACTGATTGGCCGTGTCGGGTGGTCGTGGGTTAACGACACATTTATATTTCTGCAATCTAACACGAATTAACTTTTTTTATGAATAATATTGGTTACAAAAAGCATACAATGTAACTGCTATTCTCCAAACATTCCAATGCTGAAAAATTACCCTGCCAAACCACTCAATTGGGACTACACATGGCACCATCGCCTAGTGAGCCCTTTCATGGTAGACAAGCACAGCAACAATAATACGAATCTTAATAAATGTCAGAGCATCCATGAGTGAAGCTGGTTGCTCCGTGAACCTCCTTGCAGTGGGCCAATTGTGTTTAGTTCGGGTCACGTGGCCCCAGCTGCCGCGCGTGTTGCCGCTTGCGGTTTGAATCTGGCAGGCCTGCCCCCGAATAATTCTACGGGTGTGATTGACCGTAGAAATTCGAATTGTAAATGTTGTAGTGGGTTTACTCTCCAATAGAGCGGTGTGCTGAACTAGTAATGAATTGTCATGTTTTGTTAACGTGACAAACCTTACTGATTGGCTGTGTCGTGTGGTGGCGGGTTTAACGACATTCATATTTACGCGACCTAACCCACAAAAAAAAAAACCTTATGGATAATGTTGGTCGCGAAAGCCCTGCTACGTCTTAAACTAACCTTAGAAATACGCGTGTGCTGGATCACGGTGCACCCTGAAGTTCCCGTGACGTCATTCGCAATAAAAGAGTCGGCTGTTGTGTGCCGGCTTCGTGAACCAAATTTGATGAAAAACAATTCATGAAAGATTGCCCCGGAAGTAACTCCATTGCGATTACTCGTTTCAACATTGCCGCCTGCTGTGAAACTACTGCAGACTCTCGCTGTGAAACACAGCAGATTTTGTGATTGCCCAGAGCTTTATGAATGGCGCGAATACCAAAGTCAGTAATTATTATTATTTCCCTGCACACTGGTTTGGTCCAGTAATGCATCGCTTGGTTTGGTTTATATATAGAGCCCATTATAAGAATAAGGTATGATCACTCTCCCGTTTTCAAGACGCTGAGCCTTTTATGATAAATGGGACACCTGCTGCTCTTTCGAAGCGGAGTGAAGCTGTGGTTACTTCGAGTTTGCGGCAGACGCCATCAATCAGCTTCACGTGAGAGTGCACCACTTGCAGTGAAAATGATGTTAAAGTGGCTTTACCTGAGCCAATGTGGGCCAGATTTGTAGTTCGGTGCCCTCGCTTATTGGTTCATTATTCTCTTGTTTGAATTTAACCCCATCCCTCGAGACAATGATGCCTGAAAATACAATTTAACAAACAATGGCATCTGATCATGTATAGTAATCTGATAATGTAATTGAGAATTGATCATGTATAGGCATGTGACAATATATAGGCATCTGGTAAGATATGGGCATTCTATAATGTAGGCATCTGGTAATGTATGGACATCTGGTAATCTACGGGCATCTGATAATGTAAGTATCAAATGAAGGAAGTGACCCAGTGTTTAGGGATCGGCTCATCGCCATAATGGATGTTTTCCCGTCGTTGTGATGGACGTTTGTTCACAGTGCGTGCGCGCGTGGGGTTCGTGGCAGCTTGGATAAATCGATTGCCGACTGGCAAGTGGATTAAACCCACTTCACGTGGCAGTGCCGAGGCGACGTGGTGTTTTATCTGCATTTGCCAGCAACGTTTTGGTTGAGTCAAAAGCCGAATGGCTCGCAGGGTTATACCTAATAAATGAAACTGAGAATGAAAAAACTGAATGTATAGGGATCTGATAGTGTGTAGGCAATGTGTAATAAAAGGACTCGAACACTTCTTTCTGTCTTCGTGTCCTTTATTTGGGGTTCGCGTTCTCCTTCCCACACGGCACTCCTCCTGAGACTCTCTCCCTGGCAGCCCCACATCTGCCTTCGCTCCCGTAGCCTTCCACGCTCCTGCAGCTCCGCTGCAGGCTCTTGGTACAGCCCTCTGGCTGCTCCCCCAGCAGCTCCATCTCTGCTCCCTGTTCCTCCGTGCGTGGCGATCTCGCCACCTCCCAATGTCAGCCCTTCGTGGCCTCTATGGCTATCTCGCCATTTCCTACCTCAATCCTCCACTCTCTCTTCCACCCCGCTGGCTGGCGCCGTCATGAGCCCCTCAGCCACCAGGCTGAGGCACGGCGACCACCCAACGTGTTCACTACCCTTCACTCCCCCGACTGACCCAGATAGCTTCCTGTCTCCCCGCTATAACTTCTCCCCCACGTCACCCTGACTCCTCCCTCTCGGATCGTCATATCCGCCCCGCCCATTTACGCCCGCATTACACTACCCTCCCCCGTAGAGAAAATCCCAGCCGTCCTCGGCTGAAACAGAACAAAATAATGCGGGACGAAGGCATCACAATCAGGAGTCCCCCAGACACAACGGAGATTATAACAACAACAACACAAGCAACGAAAGGGGAGGTATCAGGAACTGGAACAGAACACCGGCCTGTCCTCCGCACAACAACAACAAGAATAAGAATGGCACAATGAACAACAACGGCAACTGACACGCAAGAACGGCCAACGCGCACAACCCAGAATGTGATGTTTTAGTGCGTGTCCATGTTGCAGTTCCATCCGCTCGGCTCAAGTCCAACGTCAAAGAGCAAGTGGTAGAGCAGAATGACGAACGGCGCTCAATTGCTCCTTCAAGTCCTCATCCAGCTAGCACACCAGGTAACACCCAGTGCGACGGGAGCTGAAGAATCTGTGACGAGAAGGAGAATCCAATCCCCTGAGGCACAGCACAACAACGCACATCCGCCTGTCGTACACGACAGCCACCCGGCCTCAGGGTAGTGGAGATGATGTAAATCTGGCCCGCTTAAAAAAAAAACCCCCAATAATTACCCAAATTAACCGCGATCGATGCCCCAGTATTTACATTTTAACAACAATATTATTTACACGTGACAACAACAACAAAAATTCTGCTCTTACCCACCAGCAGTCCTCCCTTGAGGACCAGCACAGACCTCAGACGTACACAGCATGTACCCACAGTCACTCAACAAACCAACAAAACGCCTAATCGCACACCCTCGCGTGGAGAGAGCCACGCTCCCCAGCGGTGACGTTTAACTCGCCGTAACCCTCACCGTGGTCGTCAACCCACAGCAACATCCATTTACCATACTCTCGGCTAGTGCCATTTCGGGGAAGAGCAGCACTCGGCCATGCTCCTCCCTTACTATCCCATCGGAGATGGACACACACCAGCCCAGGGAAGGTTCATCCCCCGGCAATGCCAGACCCCATGGACTCCCCCTACGGGGCAATGTTCTCTTATAGAGACAATAACACCCTAACCCAGATCCCGTGAGCCCCCGGCACACCAGGTTCAGTCTGCCACCGCACAACTGAACCATGACTCCCCGAGCCATATGAGCACATGGCCCATTAGTTTAAGACATACCACGGAGGTTTCGCCTCCGGGCTGTCAGGTCAGCCATCAGCCATAGCCCGATGTGACCACAACTCGTGCATCACCCAATCAACAATGGCAGGCATAACAGATGGAATATTTGCCCCACCCCGGTTTTTCCCGCGCGCTCAAAATGGCGTCCCCCTTCGCCCAGCGCGTTCGCGCAATCTCTCGCGCGCACTCAAAATGGCGGCCCTTTCCGCAAAGCGCATCGTCGCCATACCCCGCGTGCGCGCAAAATGGCGGCCCAACGTGCGAACACGTGGCCAGAAAATGGCGGCCCAACGTGCGAACACGTGGCCAGTTTTCTCCATTCGTGCACCCCAGCTTCCCTATGCTGGGGGTCACAAAATGCATCCCCCGTCTTATTGTAACAACCCCAACAACGATAGACGCACAGCCCCAGCTTGCTGCGCGCAGCAGTCATATCGGGGAATTTTTAACCAATATTTTACCAACCACATTAGTTACACAACCCAACTCGCAAAGCAACTCGTGGCTGCATGCAATCAACCAATACACGACGCCACTTGGCGCCCATTTACGATCCCATTAGCATTAACATCTAAGCCACCCACAACGGCGTCATCGCGCACTCTCATTTTCAAAAAGCTCAATTACCCCTATAATATACACGCAATCTCGTGTGCACAACACCCATACAACCAAATTTTTGGGTCCCCCTCGAATTTGTTACCAATTTCCAACAGGTACGCACAATATAATAACAATCCCAATTCCAATAATCAACCACTGCATCGCACCCCATAACCATACAGAACGGTATAACAGCACATGCAATCAGCATATCGCGATCACACGCGCACATTTAAGCACAATAGCAAGCAGATCTGCAGGCAACCAACACACCATTAATCCTGTCGTAACTTTGCAGCAACAACACAATTATTCTCTCTCTTGCAACAATCGCATCGCACACAGCACCTCGCAGCACAATACACCAAAAAAAAAATATATTTTTTTTTCCAATTAAGCCCATCACACAAGGTAACCCACAAATAATACAGCGCAAGATACCCGACGCTCCCAAGTTAATAATTAACTTCACCATCAAGATAACAACTCCACGCAGCAGCGCACACACACAATTTGACACTCAGCAAATACAGCAGACTCTCCGTCCATTCTCAACACACGCACACACTTATATTGACACCAAGCAACAAGCAGATAGCGCGTTCATCGTTATTACACACATATACACACAGTCCGAACCGCGCTCCGCACAATCGAGTCATAAGAGAAAACCAAAATAGCCCCCCGGCCCTCGAAAGATGGGTGAGGTGTGTGTTAAGGCCGGGTGCGTATCGTTATGACTCGCCCGGGGCTGCAGCAAGAAGAGGACGGCAGGGTGGCAACTTGAGACGCCTCGCAGAACTCGTTCGGCGACTTGACGGCTCCGTTGTCACGCACCCGAGCCAGGACGGGAAGCTCCCGCCCCAGCAGCTGCAGCATCGGCGTCTTCTCCTCGCAGCACCCCCTCGAAAAACAGCAGCTCACAGCAGGCTGCTCACCCCGCGGCACCTCCAGATGGCAGCGCAAGGCTGCCTCTCCGCCGCGATGTTGAAGATGGCGGCGTCCTCCCGCCGCGGTGAAGACAAGATGGCGGCTTCCCGCCGTTTCTCCCCTGCCACGCCCAAGATGGCGTCTTCGTGCCACGTGGCAATGGCGCTGGCAGCGCAGGAAAGGCAGAGGCCTGCGGATCACCACCGGGCCTCCCCGTCGTCGTCCTCGGCGTGGTGAACTCACACAGTTGCGCCAGCACGATTTTCAAGGTCCCCATCTGCATCACCATCTGTCTCCATCGTAAGTTGGCGTCCTCCGGCACAGACAGGTCCACCGACGCGTCGACACCTTGCTCACCCGGACCCGTACTCGTTCCAGAACGGATCTCCTCTTCCATCGCAGGCAGGTCCACTGTCTGAGGAAGGTCGTCGTCGTCGGATGATGTAGCAGGAATATTTTTTTTTTTCTTCTTTCTCTCAGTTGTTTTGAGATGCCGTTTCACTTCTGACTCCAGTGTAATAAAAGGACTCGAACACTTCTTTCTGTCTTCGTGTCCTTTATTTGGGGTTCGCGTTCTCCTTCCCACACGGCACTCCTCCTGAGACTCTCTCCCTGGCAGCCCCACATCTGCCTTCGCTCCCGTAGCCTTCCACGCTCCTGCAGCTCCGCTGCAGGCTCTTGGTACAGCCCTCTGGCTGCTCCCCCAGCAGCTCCATCTCTGCTCCCTGTTCCTCCGTGCGTGGCGATCTCGCCACCTCCCAATGTCAGCCCTTCGTGGCCTCTATGGCTATCTCGCCATTTCCTACCTCAATCCTCCACTCTCTCTTCCACCCCGCTGGCTGGCGCCGTCATGAGCCCCTCAGCCACCAGGCTGAGGCACGGCGACCACCCAACGTGTTCACTACCCTTCACTCCCCCGACTGACCCAGATAGCTTCCTGTCTCCCCGCTATAACTTCTCCCCCACGTCACCCTGACTCCTCCCTCTCGGATCGTCATATCCGCCCCGCCCATTTACGCCCGCATTACAAATGTATGGGAATCTGATCATTTGTGAATGTAATGAATCAAGGGCATCTGATAATGTATGTAAAGAGTGTAAACTCTTCTCAACACTTTTAATGATGCATTCTGTCTGTCATATAATACTACAAATAATGCTATACATTCTGCATGGGGATGTTTGGCCACTTTCATTTAAAGGAAGTGATAGGAAGACAGAGTACACGGACAAAACGTGTGTGTGTGGGAAGAGCAATAAAAAGTCACAATGCCACATGCAGCCCTTTTGGTGTGATGGATTCACATATCTACATAATACGCCAGCTTTTATCTTAAACGCGCTGGATTATAACTATTATATCACGACTATTTTACGATGACTTTTTTTATTTCACCAGCTAAGGCCCACTGAGCTACGTAGCTCTTGTTCAGAAGAGACGTGGCCACAAATGACAGCGCAACGAAATGGCTTATCACGTGGACATTTATAGCAGCCAAATACTCTAAATGCACATTTCTAAATGTGGAGGCAAAAGCCCAAATAAAAATGCACGCGACCACGGGGAGAACTTGCAAACTTCAAATATACAGCAGGCGTCAGGATTGGGATGGAACTCACGGCCTCCTGTATACCAGATGAGGTGGTTAACATCTCGCCACCACGGCGCCTTGTAAGTGATGCTTACGTGTGTGACATGTGCCACAGGCTCGTGTCAATTTCTGACCTATGTACCAAGAGTCACCAGGCCTTCTCCAGCTCGCTGGGGCCCAGGTTCAAGCACCTTCTCTCATGGCCACACGGCGGCGGAGGGGAGGGAGCGAGGCTGGAGGTCGGCGAGGAGGGTGGGAGGCTGGTGGGAGCGGAGGAGAATGCCGCGCAGGCCGTTGCGGAAACCCACGGTTAGGCCAACGGCGCACGCTGCGCTAAAAGCTTTACCGGCTTCACGAGCCGTCGTTCGGTTGCGCTAAGTTGTCGGGGCGCGTTTGCTGGCCGCGCCACCGTCGTGCGCCCTGCTGGTCCGAACGGGTGCTCGCGCGCGCCAGCAGCGTGCGTCCCGTGGGGTGGTTCTGTTTTTTTTAAATCTTGGCGTGTGTCTGTCTGCGTGTCTGCGGGTGACTGCTTCCCAGATGGCCTTCTGCCTCATTGCTCCTTGCTGCTGTGTGGGAGGGTAACGGATCGCTCTTCAGAGCCGGGCACCCAGCCCGATGGCAGCTTGTTCCTGAGGGACCGCACCGGGGCCCTGCAGTGCGAGGTGACGGAGTTCCACGATGTGCACAGGTCGCGGGGGATCTGCGCGTGAGAGAGCCATCACGGCGCAAGTGCACGTTGTGACTCTTTTCTCACACACGGTCTTTAGGAAACTTGATAATTGGAAATGCTCAATTTGTAACTCACTAATTGTTGTCGTCTAGTTTGCGCTGTCTCTAGTAATGTTTGCCTCCATTATGACTGAGGAAATATTCTCATTTAATTTGCATACGTAGGAAATGATTCATCTTTCCACACACATGCAATTCAGCGATTGTGTCGTGGTGTAGTCGCACGGACAGCTTTTCTCCTGTGTCACTTTATTACTCCGCATCCCACACGGATGCTCCTCACTCTTTACGCAACGCACTCTTGCCCCGAACTCTCTCTCTCTTACTCCGCTAGCCTGTTACTGATCACTCCGCTGGGGGATCGGCCAACACCGCTGGGGAGGGCGAGGTGTGGAGGGCGAGGTCCCAGGCTTCTTGTCCTCTTCATTCCTTGAGCTCCAACCAAATCAACCCCGTGTTGCTCCGCACACCCCTTATATCCCCCTCCTCATTGAGGGTCCTCAGTTGCCCCTTATTCAGTCGACGCCTCCTGCACGTGCTCTCTCTCCCTCATCGTCTCCATCGCCCGCCTCTCCGGCGCCTGCTCCGTGTGTGCACGCCTGCACCTGCCTGCTCCCGAATGCACCCACCTCATTATCGCTTCTCCCCTTGATTGCTGCCGCCTCTCCCGCGGCTGTTCCGTGTCCTCCCGCTTGCACCTGCTCGCCCTGAGATGCACCCGCTGTCTGCAACCCTGCGCGCGTTGCACCACTACAGTTGTATCACGAGCATAACAATAGATTTGAATCAATCAGTCCTTACACTTTTACTCATATGTTACATATTATATAGTTTGTGTTGAACTAGGACCCATATCCACCAGAGATGCTCCTTTACCTGTGAACGTCTGGGCAGTTCACCAGAATTGTTTCAAGCAAAAGCCTGACTTTGCTGATGAACACTTTGAATATCGAAACCGCTAACGGAATTTGCTTGTGTTGAACCCCAATACTGATGGGGAAAAAAATGTGCTTCCAGTAGGGCTGTGTTGCTGATGGGATGTATGAAAATAAACCTTTATTTTTTTTTATTTGGTAGCAAATATACGGGGAGGAGGATTATCCGCTTATTTCTTTTGCAATTTAAATGGGCGCCTTTCGCATCTCTTCTACGGAAACCTTCCAGTCTCAGCCAAGTGGCCTGACAGCCAAACCACATAGAGCTCGCACGTTGTGTATGGCTTACCTCTCATACACTCGAGTACTGATACTGTCGCCAGAATCATTCTTTTAATTGTTATGCCGTTGTTAATTCTTGGGGACCGGCATCACATTTCGTAAAGCCGGTTACGGCATCCTCCGAATTATAAGATGCACTTTTGTTCCCCCCATTTTCGAGCTAAAAGTTGGGAGCGCGGCTATATAATTGTTTTCCGGAAGGACGTGTTTGAATCTTCATGTTCAGAATCCCCTTACGGAAGACGGATCTTGGCAGCGATACGTAAATAAATGCAGAGAATCATCATCCACAAGACATCTCTCCCCCTTATCAAGCAGCGCGTTTATACTAACGTTCCAGAAGTCAGCTCTTCATAAGTGATACACGATCTCCCAGAGGGCTTTGTTTCTGGTTGTTAAGAATAACCTTCCGGAAAATACCTCTCCCATACTTTTAGGTTTTTTCGGTAAAGTCACGTAGGTAAAAAATAAAATTAAAATTAACAAAAGTAATAATAGAAATAAAATAATAAATCACGACGTTTCGGAGGCAACACAAGTCTCCGTCATCAGGTGGGACCGTCACAGCCAGACTTACTGTATCAGGTGAGCAAAGTCAGGCTTTTGCTTCATACAGTAAATCTAGCTGTGACGGTCCCACCTGATGACGGAGACTTGTGTTGCCTCCGAAACGTCGTGATTTATTATTTTATTTCTATTATTACTTTTATTAATTTTAATTTTATTTCTTACCTACGTGACTTTACCGAAAAAACCTAAGAGTATAAATCTTTGCAGTCACGAAAGCTTCAATTCTAGATTTAATACCTCTCCCCCCATTATACATTCACAATCATCTTCAGGAAGACTGCTCTGCGTCTTCCCAATTCACCCGATTATTAACCCCTTTTACGATTTTCAAAATTACCCCGAATGTCGCAGTGCGTCTTACATTTCTGAGAGCGCCTTGCGAATTGCGTGGCAACGCTCTCCTTCACGGCCTCGTTTACCCGGAGCTCTGCCCGGTGCTCTCGCCGAGCAGCTCTCCGACTTCCCGGCCGAGTGGCTCGGCGAGTTGGTGCTGCTGCCCTGCTGGAGCTACGTGCCGGGCGGCGAGCCTCGCGGACCCCGCCACAGCTACGTGGAGGTGCACGGTGGCCCCCTGCGCCTCGTCCCCCGAGAGGATCCTCCGTGTCGGCGGCGGCCACGGGCGGCGGTCGCCGCCCTGCGTCCCGACATCGCCCGCTGCCTGCTGCTCGCCTGCGGGTGAGGGCCCCCAGTCGGGGTTTATCACCATTAAAGGGGCACCGTGGTGGTGAGATGTTCACGGCCTCGCCTGGTCTACAGGAGGTCGTGGATTCGATCCCGACCCCGACGCCTGCTGCTGTATATTTGGAGTTTGCGGGTCTCTCTCCCAGTGGTCGCGTGGATTTTTTCCTGGGACTTCCGGTTTTCCCCTCCAAATGTAGAAAACGTGCATTTTAGAATATTTGACCGCTCTACATTTCCACGCGATAAGCCACTTAGTTGAGCTGTCATTTGTGGTAGCAAGGATGCTTCTGAAAAAGAGCTCAGTGGGCCTTACCTGGTAAAACTAAAAATAGTTTTTAAATAGTTTATCGAGTCACGTGCTGGTGGAGGGCGACCTAAGCCTGGCGGAGGACCAGATTGGATGATGGCCGATGGACGCGGCCGGCCGACCGAATGGCGGCCAAAGGAGGGAACGCGTCCCAAGAGATGGAGCTCCGTCCGTTGCGCAGGAGGAGCGAGACGGACGATAGCGACACCGGACCACGAGGGCGGGCGACGGAGCGGGGAGGTTCTTCATCCAGCAGTGGCTAGACAATGGCTGATGATGACGAACGAGGGCTTTTTGTTGATTGCCGCTAGCCGCACCAAGATGGAGCAACGCACCAGACCATCGGTGGCTTATCCACTCAAGATTTGACTCGCTCCCTTTGTTCACGGTGATCTGTATGTGTGCTTTTGGGGAACGTGCGAACGGATATAAAATAATGCAGAGCGTGTTCGTAATGAGGCGTGCGGTGGTCTCGTGTTGTCTCTGGTTGGCAAGTTGCACCTCCGACTTGTGCTTAAGACTAATTAAACATTCACAGTGTCGGAAGGGATTTGAAATCACAACAATAATTAATTAACACCTTTGATTTCAAAACATAGCAGGCAAGGATCACTGGTTAAAGCGTTAGGAAGGTTAAAATTTGTGCTGCCGATGCGTTGACAATGGTACACAAATAACAAAGAAACTCAACACAATGGCCAATAACACCGTGGCCTTAAAAGGGGGAAAATAATCTAGAATGTATAATGGTGACAATTCAGTCAAATGTCTCGTTTTCACAGCCCAACATTGGGACACGTTGGTCCCACATTCTGGCCAGTTAAACGAACGAATACCGGCAATTACACACGAGATGAACCGACACGGCGGCACTGCCGGTGCGTGCAGTGTGAAGCGATCGAGCAGGGCCAAGTTCTCCCTCCTAGGCGAGCTGCTGGCCGTCGCGCCCCTGCTCTGCATCCGAGGGAAGTCCTTCTTCGTGCTGCGCCTGGGCTCTGCCTTTTCAACCTCGTCGCAGTCGTTGGCCTCGTCGTCACTCCAGTCCGTGCTCTGCTTCGTGCAGGTGCGTGCTAGGGTGCGTGCGTGCTAGCGTGCGTGCGTGTGTGCTAGTGTGCGTGCTAGGGTGCGTGTGTGCTAGCGTACATGCATGTGTGTGTTAGCGTGCGTGCGTGTGTGCTAGTGTGCGTGCGTGCTAGTGTGCGTGTGTGCTAGCGTGCGTGTGTGCTAGCGTACGTGTGTGTGCTAGTGTGCGTTGCGTGCTAGTGTGCGTTGCGTGCTAGCGTGCGTGCTAGCGTGCGTGAGTGCGTGCACCTGGGCGACGATGCAAAGCTCACTGAAGCGGGGTGGTGGAGGGGGGAGTCGGGAGCGTGAGCATATGGCCACCGTCTGGTGCCCCTGTCTGTACGAGTTTATCCACTCGGCTTGCAGCGCCCGCAGGGCGCTCGGCACTAAACGCGGTGGTATGGCTGCCTTCACATGGCTCCGCGTTAAACGCCACGTGCGCGGTCACGTGGTCGGTGAGCTGCTCGCGGTCTGTGCCGGCGTAAATACTGTGCGCCGATTATCACGGGGGAAGATGTTTAGCTTGGATAAATTTGAATGGCAGCGATATTTAATCCCATCATCGGGAGCACCATCAGGAGCACCAAAGTAACCAAATTGTGGGAAAATCGACGCGTCGTCAAGCCCACGCGTCGGCTTCCCCAAAAGTTACGAATCGAATGGGAAAAAATGTCCAGAACCATTAGGGGGAATTTTGCAGACATAGCGCGTTAAACCTGCCCGCAATGAAACTATCTTCTGCACTCGCGTGGAATGGGCCACTTCACCTCCGGCGCCGCGAGAGGTGAGGGCGGCACGCGAGGATGGCGCCGGCGCCACGGCGAGCGTCCTCGTCGCTCGTGGAGCCAGCCACACGCGGCTAAGAAGTGGCCATTTCTAGTTCAATCATTTTCCGTGGCTCTCACGGTGCCACTCGTGCTCGCGGGACACTGAGCTGCGCGATTTCAGCCCAGCATCATCCGAACGTATCTTTTGAGCCTGCGGAAGCAAGAACGCATGCATTGTGTTGATTTTGCTCCTTTCATTATCATCATCGACGGGATCCACGGGCAGATAGCGTGACGGTGTTCACTGCACATTTTCTCTGCCTTGTGCCAATGTGCTCGAGCAGCGCAACATCTTTATCGCACCGATCTCTCGTGTCGTCGTTAACCCATTCTCTCTGCGAGGTCTTCCTCTCTTTTCTGCTTCCTTACATTTTTTCCAAACAACACACTTTAACATTTTCCTCTTGTGGCCCATCCTATGCCACACGTTCCAGTGCCCCTTTTGCCGAACTTAAAACATCTTCAGAAAATTGTTGGGGGGTGGATGTGGTGCAACTTCCCTTGCGTGCGTGCGGCAGAGGTTTTGCAAGCCCCATCGTGCGGCTCTCCGGCTCGCGTGCGGCTTTTCATTTTCGTTCTGATTATTCGCCCACCTTTTTGACGTCTGTGTTCGTCTGAACTCGAGTGAACCATTTCTTTCTCCCCTTCTCAGCCTGCCTCCTGTCCGCGGAGCGCCGTTGCACCATCCATCATAATATTTCAGTTTGCACTGCAGTAGTGAACCGCTGGGAAGGAGATCATAAATATGTAACGATTGCTGGCGATCGGCCTGGATGGTGGTGGGGGTCTTCTTAGAGAGAGCCGTCTGTTTAATTAGACTTGATGGATGGCTGTGTCAAACCTTGTAGAAATTAAAGGGCTAAACAAATGTAAAATGTACGTTAAAATATGCATGTGTTTAAGTGTTTTGAAATACGAGTACGTTGATGAAGTTGATTATCTTGCCGCCATGAAAAATGCGGCTAACATTTTTAAAAAGCTGTTTCACGTGAGCGCAGCAATTAGCGTGAAATTTACATTTCGCGTTCACAGCGTAAAAGGGTTTCATCGAAAGGAGAATGCTATTGCCATGACTACCTGGCGCTCGAGTGGCTCGTGCTACGAGACCACTTACGGCAACAACAGCTTACATTTGTAACGCGGCCATAACGTAACACATGCCTCTTTAACGCAGATGCAGGAGGAGGACGTGGGAGGAAACGGGAGGGAGCATGAGAGGGAGGGAAAGGAGCTGCTTCAGGGGGTCCGAAGGCACGGGAGTTGAAATGGAAGGCTCTTAGGAGAGACTTAGAACCAGAGACAGGGGGTCGAGGATACCAGGTGGAGTTGCCTGGGGAGGGAATTCCTGAGGGTGCGGTGCTGAGTAGCTCGGGGAGCGACGCGAGTGGTGGTGGAGCAGCGGATCTTGGGAGCAAGACGGGGTCGGTGGTGTTGGTGTAGCGGGCTGGGACGTAACGGTGTGCAGCGGAAGGGAGGAGGAGCAAGGCGGTGGATGGGCTTGAACCCAAGGACAAGGATCTTCTGTTCCACACGCTCGTGGATTAATGACGGCGGGAGTGCACGGTTGCGCTGAACATAAGTGCTACGTCCGTGCATCCTGAGTGGCTTGCTCTAGACATGACAAAGCGTGGGTCCATCAGGCAGACTGAGAGTTAACCACAGAGAAATGGATTGACGGTCTCGAGGGTTGATGGATGACCAGATAGTGCGTTGTGTCTGAATGGGTAGTTTGATAAATGGAATGACTAATGAGCTGGCAGTGTATATTGTACGGCTGGATCTCAAAAGCAAGGCGGGGGAGCCATGTGGCCCATTGTAATGATCGAAAGTTAATCATTAATAAATGCATGCTGGTGTGTGAATGGACAGTGCGGGAGCGGTGGCGGCGCAGTGGCGTGTGCACTCACCGCTTTACAAACCCGTCGGCCCGAGTTCGATTCCCGCTCACGACCAATAACGGTGACGAATATCTGAACCAGTCATGGGCCTCCCCTCGGTGCGGTTCGTAAGCACCGACACTCGAGAGACAAAGGCGGCCTGGCGTGGTGCTGGCCACCCACCCCCTCGTGTGCCGTGCTGGCCTTCATAGGTGCTACCCGCTAACAGCACTCTCTGATAAAGGCGACATGGTGGGAGGATCTTTGTCTTTGATTGAATGGACACTGGTGGAGGGAGAATCACCATTGCCATGAAATGCATCTCTTACGGACCAACCCATGGCATGAGGCAGAAAAGCCACGCACAACATTAGTCATGCAGAGAGTGCGGCAAACACTGTATTTTCAAAGAAAGCAATAAAATAACGTGTAGTATTGAGGAATTAAACAAACGTTTATATGCGACAACACGTTTATTCTTTGCGTGCAAAAAGAAAGAAAATATCCACTCTTACAGTATTTGGAATTCCAAATTTGTTTTGTTTGCTGTGATACAAATGCATTTTATGGGTTAGCTCTTACTGTGAAGTGGAGAAAAAATATGAATAATTGTACATTGCCATCTTCTTGGTTCTTTCGGTAAAGTCACGTAGAAGGGAAGTAATAAAATAATAAAAATGAAACATAATAAAATAATTCTCACGACGTTTCGGCCACAACGCAAGCAGCCGTCCTCAGGTGAAGAACAGGTCTGTCAGAAAGACAGCGTCTGAATGACCTGTTCTTCACCTGAGGACGGCTGCTTGCGTTGTGGCCGAAACGTTGTGAGAATTCTTTTATTATTTATGATTTTTATTATTTCATTATTTCCCTTCTACGTGACTTTACCGAAAGAACCAAGAAGATTAATCCCTGCAGTCACGAAAGCTTTACATAGAAATGTACATTGCAGTTGGTGGTGTTAACAAAATAAAGAATGTCTCCTTCACATGGACGCCTTTCCACATAAAACAATTAAAAGTATTTATTACACAATCCATCGGCCGCACGGCCTTCTGGGAGCGCGTAATGCCCGCTGCATTGATTCAAATACAAGGATAGTTCTGGACCGGTTTCGACCACAACGGTGTCTCATCAGCAGAGTCAGTGTTGCTTGAATGATATAATCCCAGAAGGCCGTGGGGTACCGTCTGCTTATTTATTGTTGTTTATATTTTCCACAACAGCTCAATTATTTTGACGTTCGTGCTATTCGGTAAAGAGAACCATAAACCCCGAGCAGACTTGTAGATCAAGCTACCGTGCATGCTACTAATTGGGAGTCACCAATGTGCCGAATTATTATGACTTGGGTGCCAGATTTCACCCATTAATTGAAAGACCCCCCCGGTGCTGCATCGCGCTGACACTTTACTAGACGTTACATGCTGAAGTCACATAATTCTAGTCTTTCTTACAGAAACATCTATCCACTAACCTTGTGTTCCAGACATCCCTGCCTAAACGACACAGTGGCGAGATGTTAACTCCCTCGCCTGGTGTGCAGGATGTCGTGGGTTCGATCCCGACCCTGACGCCTACAGTATGATTGGAGTTTGCGTGTTCTCCCCGTGGTTGCGTGGATTTTTCTCTGGGTCCTCCGGTTTTCCCCACCACATTTGGAGTCAACATCACGCGTTTAGACTATTTGGCTGCTATTAATTTCCACACGATGATGAGCCGCTTCGTTGAGCTATCATTTCTGATGGCTAGGTCGCTTCTGAAAAATATCTGCGTAGCTCAGTGGGCCTTACCTGGTCAAATTAAAATAATTGCCTTTCATAATGACATTTTTAAAAAATCTCAAGCATTTAACACCAGTGGCTATTAACGTGTAAAGCTGCGAATGTTGCAGTATTATGACCAGAGAGCGTGGTTGCAGTAGATGGCATGATTAAGATTAGACAAAATAACAACCAGTGGTTTATGGTGCCTACAATATTTGCTGACATGTTGTTTGTAAACATAAAAAACTGTTATGTTCATAATTGAGTACGGGCATTGTTATTGTAATATATCACCTGCCCGGCTGCCTTCAGAGAGACTGTCGGGAAAAAATGTTTAATAAATGTGTGGCTGGCCAGGACAAATTGATGTTACAGCTGAAATCGGGTGAAAGTAATTGAATGCAATATTGAAATATGCTGCAGACCGACATTATATTATGTCAAGCATATGTAGAAATCCAACTTTTTTGGTTTTTGAATCCCTTTGTTTTATGAAAATCAACAAAAATTCTTACTCCAGGGGAGTGCGTACATTTTAAAACAGTTAGTCAATGTCGAGGTGAGTTATTGCTCAAATGCGCCACACTGCAGCATGGGGGCTCATCTCCCGTTCACTGCCCCGAGCCAGTGATGGCAATTACACTTTCCCATGGCAGGGGACAGTCTATCGACTGTTCACTTCCCCCCAAATTGGCACTGATTTACGCATACTCTGTGGTTCTTTTGGTAAAGTCACGTAAGTAAAAAATAATAAAAGTAAAAAAATTATAAAAATAAAATATTAAATAAATGAAATCACAGCCACAAGCAACTGCAGCTGCTTGTGGCTGTGGTGGTCCCACCTGATGACGAGCACTTGTGTTGCGCCCGAAACGTCGTGATTCAATTAAAATTATTTGTTATTTTTATTATTGTTTTTTACTTTTGTTATTTTTTAACTATGTGACTTTACCGAAAGAACCAAAGAGTATGGATCCTTGCAGTCACGAAAACTTAAAATCTTATTTATGCATTTTATCGACCCTGCCAACCAGGATTTGAACTTCTGAGCCGCTCACTTAGCTGCTTCCCAGTGAACGTGTGAACATTGTGCCAGAGTCGGCGTGTGGCTGGAACCGTGAGAGCAACGTTAGCCCAGCGTCACGGGGCCAACTTTCCGTGTTTACCGGGTGATTATGTCCACACACATGACCTCCATAATGTGGACTGTTGTAGACCGGAGTTTTAAAGGTTACACAAAGAGCATTTTTGTTTAAATGTAATAAGAAAAGTAATTGATGTAAAATATAAATATCTGTTTTCACTGGTGATGGAATAGGCTTTGCGAGCGTGTCCATGCTTTATTGTGGAGCTGCTGCTGCTGCTGCTGCTGCAGCTATAAATATGGAATAGCGACAGGACTTAATTTTAAGAAGCACATTTTGGAATCTCTTTACTCATCTTGACACATCGAGCTGAGCTGATGGAAAATGAAAATCAAATCCGAGCAAAATCCATTGTATATTCTACGTAAATTAACTGGGTCCAAGTGTATTTCTGCAAATTAAATTCGTGTCCGCTTCAAGTAAGGAGAGAACATAATTTAATAGGATCTGGGGGGTCTGTGTAAATCTCCAAATATTGGAAAATTATATTCTGAAAAATGAGATCACATTAAGCATATTTGATTCCGATAACTTATTCCCTTAAATAAACCAAAATATGCTAAATACTTTTAATTGTAAATTTCAAAGGGAGGGGGATGATCTCTTTAGCAACCTCGAGCAATTGTGGGCAAAACATGGTCATTAATTTAATTAACAACAAAGGTTTAATATCGAAAACCACTCATTAAGTTGTCAAGTACATGCATGAAACCATTTGCCGATTGCGTCATTAGCCGTGTTATTAAATCCTTCCGCTGTCTCATGTGGGGTGGAGCAGTGGGGCAGCGGTTAGCGCACTGCTAGGGAACCTGGCGAACTGAGTTTGCTTGCCAGCTCCTGCTCACAGTGCCAACTGATGTATTGCAGGTCACCCTTGCGGCAGAGGCAATGTTTCATGCGTCTGAACGGGTTGATTTCATCTCCTGGTTAAATCAAGGATGCATACGTATCAGGACCAGTCCCGTGCTCCCCTCCCTCTCACCAAACGACACTGACCAGCGTGGTGAAGTATGGTAAAAAAAACCCTATTATTGACTTAACGGGAGAGAAGTCCTTCATCCATCCAGCAGTGGGTTGACAATAGCTGGGAATGTATTGCCACGTTTAGTGGTGAGTGAGAATGCCGCTCGACACCTGCGACTGAGCACAGGACCCGAGGCTGAGTGAATAAGACAATCGAGAGACATTTTGTGATGTCTCATCCTTTGGTCGTCTCAAGACTAAACGGTGTCACTGCGTATCCGCCGCCCTCTAAAGGGAGCTGGAGGTGCAGTCGATGTTTTTTCTCTGTGTCACAGTAGCTGGGAGGCACAGTTGATAAACTACTAGGAAAAAACCCCCCCCAAAATTAGCACAGCTAATTAGCCATTCAAGGAGGGTTATGACCATAGGCATTAAGCAATGCTTGTGGGAAGACATCTGATAATCCGTCAAAATGAAAAACATCTGTAGTTTCGATTAGCCACCCCGCCCCCCCACGATCAAGGCTTACACCATGGCTAGTGGGGAGCACAGTGAAAAGCCTGTCTGGGTGAAGGGAGACATGGGTTGAGAACATGTGGGAACCCCGAGCATCAAGCAGCAAGTGGTCCGCGGACTGCTGATGACCTGCGAGGCAGTGTGGAACCTGCTCCGCGGAAATGCCCATTTCCAAAGTCATTGCCCATTTCCAAAGTCATTGCCCATTGAAAGCCTTCAAATCAACATTGAAAAGCCGTTCGGCGATTTACGAATCCTCAGCACAGCTTGCTATTGACTGAATCGGCCGATGGCTCACATCGGTCCGAATAGGTTTAATGTTGATAGATATGTTATTGGTTCACCGTGCTCCGTGGAAATAAAAAATGAAGGGTTTGCGGTTGTCCGCAGGTCGGGAAAGATTGGGAAACCGCTGTGATAGGTAATGGGAATATCTGCGACTTTCTATCTAACCAAATGCACGGCAGCTTGCACCCTGGATTGCATGCTAGTTAATCTAGAGAGCTGCATTTTTGTGCACTTCTGCAGCTGCCTCTGTCTCATGAACCTATGTCTGTGTTTTTTAATGTAATGTAATAATGTAAATGAACATCCTTACAAGCGATCATATTTGAAGTTGTGAAAAATGTATGCAAAATTCCTCCCAGCCGCTTGCAAAGTAGATATTTGGCGGGCACAAAGACAAAGATGGCCCATCTAATCTTGATTTGAGGCTTTCGGTAAAGTCACGTCGATAGAAAATCTCTACGTGACTTTACGTTGTAAACAAACTGTGAGGGCAAGCGCTGTTAGTGAGCACCAATGAATGCCGGCACGGCACTCAGGGCCCCTTCAGATAAGCGTCACCGGTGTTGACCCTGAGCGGGGTTCTTAGCGCAGCGCACAAAGCGCTACACTACCATTCTTGCGGCCACACACATAGGACATACACTGAAATGGCCCATAAGCTTAAGTAATCATATGGCTCTCCGAGTAACGTCATTTCATTGTCAATTGCACTAAAGGCAGACGCGTACCTGAGAGCGTTTATTTTTTGCTCGGGTCGCAAGGTTGAGGCACAGTTCCTCTGTTCGATAGACGTCGTTTCTTGATATCTCTACTGCACGGTTTCTCAAACCGCCTTCACCACTGTTGCCCGTCTTCTCGGCGCAGTGCAGCAACGCAATATTTCATCCGATGCCGCTTCTCGTATGAAAAAGGTCAGGGTACATTTTCCCGTCAATTATAATGGACGGCACGTTGCGCGAGAAAACAAAGAGCAGAACATCCCCAAGCGTCCCCGTGGTTTTTCCCTCTTTTTTTTAAACGAATGTTTTTTTTTTTGCAGACACCCAGCAAGCTGTTCTGGAGCAGCTGCCTCCGCCCTCATGAGCACTACCTCATTACCGACGTCACCATGACGACCGTGAATGGCACCCGGCCGGTGTTCGTAGTTTCCTCGACCTCGGAGCTGCATCCCGCGGGCAAGGCCCACACCAGGGAGCTCGGCCTGAAAGAGGCCCTGACTGCTTGCGGCGTGTCGGGGCGGGACTTCCAGGCGAGCTGCAGGGCCGCGGCCGCCGCTAAGCCCGACAGCCTGGCACGCGAAACCGAAGGAAGCGGTTCACCCTCAAACGTCATTTCGTACCGGGTATTGCAGCAAAATGTGTGCATTCGTACCGCATCAATTCACGTCTGTTGTGCTGTCGGGGTCGAGTCAGCGGTAGGAGGGTGACATCTTCACCCTGGGGTGACTAGGGATATTCCCAGAGAAGCCCCGGGGGAACCCCAATGTGGCCTCTTGTCCACAGCCAACAGATGGGACTCCTTTTATGGTCATTTTGGGATTTTCCATCAGTCCCATGAATGAGGGCCCTCACAGCTGGACAGCACCAACTCTTGCGTAAAGCAAACATCTTCCAACATTCGTTAAATAACGACTGTGGCCGCTCAACTGCTCGGATGGGAGTGCTGGATCCTTGACTATGTCAGCTCAGTCAGTATACCCTGGCGAGGTTGTTTGCTGCCTGAGAGCCCCATGCCATCTCTGGTAACTTGACGGAATTCCGGTAAGGCCCCCGCTGAGCTACGTAGCTCTGTTTCAGAAGCGACCTGGCTGCCACAAATGATAGCTCGACGCAGTGCAGTGGCTTATCACGTGTACATTTATCGCGGGCCAGATATTCCAAACGCACGTTTAGAAATGTGGAGGCAAAAACCGGCGGATTCGTAGAAAAATCCACTCGACCATGGGGGGAACATGCAAACTCCAAATATACAGGCATCGGGGTTGAGATCGAACCCACAACCAGGCGAGGGAGTTAACATTGGTGATCCAGCAGTCACTGATTCATTCGGTCACTCGCTCACCGGTGATCAGTCGCCTCCCTGTCGCTCTTCTCTCTGCTACCACCGTGTTTACTGTTCCGGTGAACTTCACCGGTAGATTCTGCCACCAATGTTGAGGACTCGCTCTCCCAGACTTGAGTGTTTCGTTTCATCCACGATGTGTTCAACCACCACACTGCAGGTCACAACAACAATAGCAACCACTATTTGCCACGAAGTTTTGGTGACGTCACCGCAGCGCTTGTGCCAGGTTAGGTGCACTTTGAGGCTACGTGAAGTGTCGAAAGCTCCGAATGTCACGGGAAAGATGCAAGTGTTTTGAATTGACTGGGAATGACTGGCAGATGTATCACCTGTGCACCCCACTGTGCCAACCTGCTGGGTTTAGCTGCCCGGTGCTCAGATCATTTTTGTTAGGTAACAAATGCAGATCCCAACAACAAAGACAAACATCCCCCGAGAGCCTTAATAGACTTTTGGGGCAAGTACTTTTAGCTAGCACCTAGGAAGGCCGTCACGGCACACGAGGGTGTGGGTAGCCAATACCACGTCCGACCGACTTTGTTTCCCGAGTGGCAATGTTAACACATCACATCAGGTATTTATTTGAGGCTGAGTCGACCTAGAGGAGGCCCAGGACCGGTTCAGGTAATCATCACTGGTGTTGGCCGAGGGCGGAAATTCGAACTCAGATCTTCGGGGTTGTGAACACAGCGCGCTAACTGCTGCACCACCGCTCCCCACCACACTCACCGACACACACACACGCGCCATAATGCAGGTCACAACGCTTCTCTCTCTGCTTCTTCCCTCGCACTACTCCACTTTGGAACTCCCTTCCGTCGTCCTTTGGTCAATTATAGAAACGTGTTAACTCTTATCTGTCACGACGATTGATGTTTTGGGCCTTGGGGCCTGTGCGCGGCGACTGTTAAATCTAAGCGTGCTTCGTAGCGTCACAACAGTGCGCGAGTTGTGGAAGTTCTGAAGCTAAATTGTGAGGGATTCCTTTAGTGAAGTCAGCGGGGCTCCTTGAGTTCAGTCAACTCCATTGGGGTTTCAACTTGAGAACATTCAGGACAGATGTTTAACGCCATTTCACGTATTAAAATGTACAAGCAATTAAAAACTAAAGTTAAAACTCGGCCAGTTTCTAAAAGTTGTTAAAAATCCAACATCTTGCGTGTACAATGCACCCAGAGCTTAACAAACATTCTCTGCCTTAAACCGATTTACCCACATCACAGCAACTCCCCCCATCTCTCCACCCTCACCCCCCCATCTCTCCACCCTCAACCCCCCCCCCATCTCTCCACCCTCAACCCCCCATCTCTCCACCCTCAACCCCCCCCCATCTCTCCACCCTCAACCCCCCCCCATCTCTCCACCCTCAACCCCCCCCCTATCTCTCCACCCTCAACCCCCCCATCTCTCCACCCTCAACCCCCCCCCCCATCTCTCCACCCTCAACCCCCCCAGTCTCTCCACCCTCAACCCCCCACTCCTCCACCCTCAACCCCCCATCTCTCCACCCTCAACCCCCCCCCCATCTCTCCACCCTCAACCCCCCCCCCCATCTCCCCACCCTCAACCCCCCCCCCCATCTCTCCACCCTCAACCCCCCCCTATCTCTCCACCCTCAACCCCCCCCCATCTCTCCACCCTCAACCCCCCCCATCTCTCCACCCTCACCCCCCCCATCTCTCCACCCTCAACCCCCCTCCATCTCTCCACTCTCCACCCTCAACCACCCCCCCATCTCTCCACCCTCAACCCCCCCCATCTCTCCACCCTCAACCCCCCCCATCTCTCCACCCTCAACCCCCCCCCATCTCTCCACCCTCAACCCCCCCCATCTCTCCACCCTCAACCCCCCCCCCCCCATCTCTCCACCCTCAACCCCCCTCCATCTCTCCACCCTCACCCCCCCATCTCTCCACCCTCAACCCCCCCCCCCATCTCTCCACCCTCAACCCCCCCATCTGTCCACCCTCACCCCCCCCCCATCTCTCCACCCTCAACCCCCCCCCCCATCTCTCCACCCTCAACCCCCCCCCATCTCTCCACCCTCAACCCCCCCCCCCCATCTCTCCACCCTCAACCCCCCCCCCCCATCTCTCCACCCTCAACCCCCCCCCCCCATCTCTCCACCCTCAACCCCCCCCCCCCATCTCTCCACCCTCACCCCCCCATCTCTCCACCCTCACCCCCTCCACATCCCAATGAATATTCACCATTCCCTCCGGCGCGATCGCCGCCGCGCGGCGTGCGTCTCACGTCAGCCCGCCACCGCCCGCACCCGTGGCGATTCAGTGAACTAGCGCGATTCGGCCTCAAAACTCTATGCGGCGGTCAATATCAAATCTGTAAATGCGAACACTATTGAGGAGCGTGTGAATCAGTCACGTAAACATACACATGCATCATACGCGATCGATAACCGCGCACAAATTGACGCCAGGTGTGGTTCTATCGTAATTGATTTTAATTGACGAATAGCATTCATGTCTAATGTACGATCATTCGTGATGAAAGTCACATTTAGACGCTCCACATGCATAAAGGCTTGCTTTTACATTTACTGAGCATTATTTATTTATTCGGGAGAGCCGCACTGAGCAGCAGAACTCTTTTTCGGGAGGGTCCTGCATTTGGCTTTTATTTGAAAATGTTTAACGATGAGTTGTGTGTATTACACAAGCGGGAGGAAACCGGAGCACGTGGAGGAAACCCACGCGTTGCGCGAGGGGGCAACGCTCTATCCCCCGCGTACAGATAGAAACAGATGGCGATGAATCCACATGCTGTACCGCCAGGGTATGGCACCTCGAAGCCCACGGGAAGGGAGTGCGGTGATCCACCAAGCCTCGCTGCCTCCACGGCGCTGGGTTACTACAGGCTGCGGCCATGTGCAGCAGCGTACTCACCACCACCACGGCCTGTACTTTAGCAGTAGACTCGATGAGGCTTTCTTGGGTAAAAAAGTACAATAGTTAACTGTGACAGTGGTGGTGACTATGACTGTGGTGGGTGATGATTATCTGAACCGGTCCTGGGCCTCCCCTAGGTCGACTCAACCTCAAATGAGTACCTGGTGCAGTGTGTAAACATCGCCACTGGGGAGACAAAGGCGGTCGGGCGTGGTGCTGGCCACCCACCCCCTCGTGTGCTGTTCCGGCTTTCATTAGCGCTCGCTAACAGCACTTGCCCCGACAGTCTGTTAAGGCTATACGGGGGATCTTTGTGTGCGTGCGTGTGTGTGTGCGTGTGTGTGTGCGTGCGTACCAGGGCGTGCTCACACGCGTAATCAACGCGCACGGCGGCTTGTACGAGCTCGACGGCGAGGTGGGCCTCTGCCTCGCCTACCAGCAGGGCCTGCACCTCGGCCGTGGCCTGCGCATCGGTGCCACCCTCGAGGTGACCTCTCCATTGATTGATAGTTTAATATTTTTATGGATATAACATTTTTACTCTCACTCTGTACGTCGGTCGTTCTCTGCGAGTCTGTCGGTCTCTGGCGGGTGTCTCTGCCCCTGTGAGTGTGAGCTCCATCTTTGTCGTTCGTCCCCCCTTCTCCTCGACCGGGCTTGTGGCCCGGTCCCCCGTGAGCCCATCCCGACGCGCGGATGCTTGGGAACGTCTCGCTGCTCACAGGCCAAACCGGGCGGGGGGATGGGGAGCAGTATTTGAAGGTGCTCAAACCAAAGTGAAGTCTACGTGCGAATGCAGACATCGGTACAAGGGATCCAGATACACAGTTTGATTTAACATGGCCCAAAGGCTCACGTGTTGAACCCGGCAGGTTTGTTAACCATGAAATACGCGGCATCTGCTTCACGGTGGGCACTGCATATCCTGTCGCTTCATTCGAAAAAACAGAGGACCGATGTGTTTACTGGCGTCATTGGTGACGATTGCTATGGAAAACATAGCAATCGTTGCCTGCTCGTGCGAAAGCTTAGCTGGAGCCCTTGAAACTGGATGAGGCATTGCTGGGTAAACAAGAGTAGTCAAATTAATAATAATAACAATGTAGGTTAGCCGAGGTGGTATCTCGCTCTCGCCGTGACCCGCAGCCGCTGTCTGTGCCTCTCGCGGGGCCCACAGCTCCCCTGGCATCGACGCGTCGCGCTCACGTGCCGTCGAGATCTTGCAGCCGCCCCCATCGATCGCCCTGCAAATCCGATAATCTCTCTCAGTTCACGTCACGGAGATATTCGATATTATTTCTGATCTCATTTTCACCGTCTCGTTTGTGCTGTCGGTCTCGTACCTTTTGTCATTTTCATTCTCCTTTGTACAATGAGCCTAAAGGCTTAATTTACATAATTAAGGTTTAATTTGCATAAATAATAGATTAAGCCGTTATTATCCGAGTGCTGTGGTGTGACAATCAGGCATCTCGAAATTATGTTGAAGTGGTTTTGCAACGCTCACTGTAACCTGGATGTGTTAGACAAATCCATCAAATCCTCAGACCTTTTAAATGCACATCGTTGGCTTCCGGTTGAACAACGGCATCCTGCACAAAGTCTCCTTCTCCCCGTTACAAAGAGCAACCGGCCTCTTTAGCATCCCCACGTTTCATCTCACAACCTCCGGATTGGCCTCAAAGCGGCTCCCCCCGCCCCCCCTTCTCGGGCCCGCCGTCTCGAGAGCCAGACGAGGCGGCGGATGTCCCCGCCGCTCTTGCCGCGGCTTCGCTCGCCTGGAATTCACTCCGTCCGCCGCTCCCGCTGTGCACCGCGCATCGTTGCGTCGTCGTCGTCGACTCTTTGTGAGCACCTTAAAGGCGTCTCGCTCTCTTCAACCCACTCTTGTCCACGCCCCTGAACGTCCTTTTTCTCAAGTTGTATTCGTGCGCGTTGCAGTTTTGATAACGAGCGAACGAATCCCGTCCTCGCCGCCCACGCGTTGCCATCGCTCGCTCAAAATAGCGGCGGGGGGCGCGTGACCCAATGGCAACAAACAAAAAAACAACCACGTTGAAGGTTGCCTGATCTAGCGTGTAACACCGTGACGGGGACTGATTTGTGCTCTCGCATTAATCAACACCGCAGCTGTCATACCCCCGCCACCCCATGCCTGCAGGTGGACCCGTGCGCGGTGCTCTCTCCGTGAAACGTGAAATCACAAATGATGTTTTCCCGACGCAACCTTGAGGAGGCGGGGAGGACCGGCGCTGGTACGGCCGTGCCTGCCCCGCGGGGCGCGCGGCGGCACGAGGTTTGGTGAGAGGCCAGAGATGAAACGTGGGGACGCTCGCTGCCGCAACCACGTGGGGACCGAGGGGACGCGGTCGCCCCTCGCGGCCGTTGGGGGCGGATGGAGCGGCCGGGTGACGCCGTGGCTTTTGTGGATTGCGGATGACCCCCCCCCCGCCTGCCCCCCGAGAGCCTCCTCATTATGGGGTATAAATGGGTACGGAGTTGGGCGGTGCGGCGAGCCCCGGCTAGACGGAGCACGCCGTCATTGCCGCTAATATCCGCTCGGCCAAGGAGAGCCAGCGGCAGTGTGCTTGCTGTTCTCGAAGTAGCAAAGCAGGGTAAAACATAATCCGCCGTATTCACTTCTCAACGTATCCGCAGAGTGTGTGCATACCTCGGGCCCAGCGCTCTCACCTGAATATGCAATATATAAAACAGATAACGAGCTAAGCTTATTCGATTTGAAGGTGAGAAAGAAAGAAAGAAAAAAAAAAAAAAAAAGACGGCCTTAATAATCATTGATGAACTCGGTTTTCTAAAGCGCCATTCGAACAAGGCCTCAAAAGCCCTTTACAATAAAGCTTAAGTTATGGAGAAAGCCTGCTGTACAAACAGGTGAGTTCTAAGATGCGATTTCAAATGAATGTGACAGACTATATTCCCGAATGGGCCGAGGAGGAAGGGAAATTCCACAATCGCGGAAGCTGGCTACAAAAAGCTCAGTCTCCCACAGAACAACACAGTCTGGCCTTTGGAATCATGATTAGGAGACCAGAACCAGCAGATCTGAATTCTTTTCTGCAGTGGAATATAAAACCTCAGCAGATCGGTGAAATATTTAGAAGCCAACTCATTCAAGGCCTTAAACGTGAGAGGAGGAATTATTTAAGTCGATGTTGTACTTTAAAGGGAGCCAGTGCAGGGAAGGAAAGGATCGGAGTCATTTGATCACACGATTTAGATCTGGCTTAAAACCCGGACATCTGAGTTTTGAATATATTGTAGTTTACTTAAAACACTTTTAGAAACGCAAGAAAGCCAAGGCATTACAGCTGTCCAACCTTGATGAAATCAGGGCAATGCATCAGCCTCTCAGGATCGGGAAAGGACAGCAAGAGTGGTCTTAGTGGAGCTTTGCAGCTTAAGTGGATTAACAAGATGTTGGTGATATTATGCATGTGGGCCTGAAATGTCTCACTGGGGTCTAGGATAACAGCTAAGTTTCTGACCTCCGAGGAAGACAGAATGGCCAAACTAAAACCATCCAGTTTGTGCACTTTATGTGGAGAGCCCAAAAACATAATCTCTCTCTTACCACAATTTAATTAAAGAAACATTAGGATCATCTAAGACGTGATCGTATGGAAACGGCTACTTTAGTATCAGTCAGAGCCTTAACATAAATCTGCGGGGTCATCAGCATAAAAGTGAAAATCTAACGGTCACCAATTTAAAAGCACACTGATTACGACATCGGTGCTTGAGTGATTCGCTCAATATAGACACAACCAGGGCAGAGACGACATGACAATGGATACAGCCAGGGAAGTGGGATCGGATTTCTCGGGAGCAAGTTGACGGTTTTTCTTTGGAGGCCAGGTCAGAGAGGGTCATGGGGAGGGGGCGGCACAGTGAACGCAGTCGGAGAGTATTGTTTCGATGTGACTCAGGAGTGGAAGGGGCAATTCCTCTTTTGCATAATAGAATACATTTTGGAATGAAACGATTCAAGAAACGTTATTGCATTTAAACGATGGAACCAGGTAAGATTGGTTTAGAATTAGATTTTAACATTTGATCAGTTGTAGTAAAAGGCATTCTTGAGTTTCTATAGCCATTAGCGTAGAGAAGAATGTGGGCCTTGCCTAATTTAATTCGTCCATTTAAAATATCCTGATGTTTGCTTCCAGATGTGATCATGAATCTCCAGACCTGTGTCCCACTGTCCAAGGAGCGCAGATGGCCAGTATGCCAAGGAGATCACCGATTGTAGCAGACAAGTTGTGATTTAAGCGGCACCAAAGAGCCAAGAGTATTAGAGAGTGTTGCATTATAGAGAAGACGCTTGTCCTCCCAAGAAAGAAACTGAAAGTTTGAGGGTAAGAATGCAAAAATTGACTCAACAAACTTAGTTGTATTTAAAGATTTTAAATCCCTACAGATGATGGTTTGTTTGTTTGATTCAATGAAAGTGGCCAACCGTGCTAATCAGAGGTGCGGGGGAAGGACAACAAACTAAACAAAAAGTAGTTCTAAGGAAATGAGTTTTCAATTTCGATTTGAAAGTGCATAGCTCCAGTGGTTCTCTAATATCATAAGGAAGAGAGATACAGCAATGTTGCACCAATTTAAAATGGATATGAACAAACCAGATGTAATGACTAGATCAAGGGTATGACCAAGATTGTGAGTAGGAAAGTTTACGTGTTGGGAAGAACCAAGACAGTCCAGCAGGGCTAAACATTCCTTCGCAAAGGAATAATTTGGGGGATCAGACGAATATTAAAATCACCGAAGAATAAGATGTTATTTAAATGGGATAAAACAATTGCAATAAATCGGGAAAATCCCGTTGAGAATATGGCGTTAGATTTTAGGGAGCGATCAGTAGAGCCACCCTGAAAGATATTGACGCCGCTGACCACGCAAACGTCTTGTTTGTGGTTATTATTAACTAGAAGTGAACTCATAAGGTGGTACGTCTGACTGCTTAAAGTCAGCCTCGGGGGGCACAGGGCTTTTATTGCTTCGTTGGGTTCTGGAAGGGAGGGAGGGAGGCAGGCAGGCAGAGGCAGTGTGACTTGCAAAGTGAAAATTACCACTGTGCCTCTGTGTGGGGCCACATTCACACCCAGGCTCTGTCTCCTCTCCGCCGCAAAGTTTGCACGTGGCCCATGACACCATCACAGCCTCCATCACCCTCAAGTGACAGTTTGCGAACATTTGGTTCGTTTTGCTTCTCTCGGTTTGATGTTTTTTGCCCATTATTGTATCGGTAATAATGTCCAGCCCAGTGCTCTTTGTGGCAGGGCCCCCGGGCCACTGGCGGCCCCCGGTGGCCTTTAGCAGCGGCCCCTGACGTGCGGCCCCCGACAATACCGCTTGCAGGCGGTGTGGCGGCCCTCGCACTGATGATGTCTTATCGGTGAAAGTGGCCCACGTCTGAAAATTAGTGAAGAACACTGGTAAAGCTTCTTGTCCTTCCACTGC